GCTGATCTGTCCCGCTCCCTACCGGAGCTGGCCAGTTGTGGGCCCAGGGCAGATTGGCTGGTGTGGGGACCCTCCCCCACCTCGGTCTCCGCCTGGGGCCTGTGCTGGAGTCCTCCCAGGCATGCATGCCCACAATCTGCCAGCCGGGTGACAGGAGCCAGGTGCTGCCTCCTGGGGCCAGTGGCAGCACTGATCTTCCTGGTGCTGGGTGTGGGCTGCACTCAGCGCCGGTCTGTCATCTGGCCTGCACCCCTGGGAGGACTCTGGCACAGCCTTGCAGTCCTCCTGAGGGTGCGGGGAGCCCCCAGTCCGCCTGCCAGATGAGAGGAGCTGGGTCCTGCCGCCTGGGACCAGCGGCAGCAGTGATCTTCCCCGTGTTGGTCCCAGGCGGTAGCACCTGGCTTCTCTCATCTGGCCGGCTCACACCCCCAGGAGGACTCGGGCACAGCCCTGGCAGCCCTTCCAGGGGTGCCAGTGGGTCTTCATCTGCCTGCCTGCTGTATTTTATGTTTCCTCATAATAACCTATGGGCAAAACATCGAAACAGCGTCAAAACGGTAAAACAGTTTTGACGAAACGAAACGGAAGAGTGCTTTTGAAACTAAATGAAACTTGAAACGAAACGCTGTTCCGTCGCAACGGGAGTCGAATCAGATGGACGCTGTTTCGCACAGCCCTCGTGGAGTGCAGTGTGCCAATGAGCCCATGCAGATCAGCACCAGCAGGCAGAGCATTTAGTCCTTTCCAGAGGCTGGGCCCAGCCTTCGCCTCACCAGGCCTTCTCCATGCATTTTCTCTTCCCAGGTGGAGGGAGCAGAGCTGCTTCTGCTGCTCCAACAGCAGCGGCCCGGTGCTGGAGAACAGCACGTACAACAAGTTCCGGACTGGTGAGTTGGGCCCGCGGGGCCGTGTATTCCCCCGGGTGGGTACTACTCACTGAACGTGGGGCACTTCCACGTTGCACAGCGTGGCAGGGGGATGCGGCACCTCGCAAGCCCTGCCCGTGTCAAAGGCAGTGCCCGGTTGGTGCAGCGGCAAAGGGGACCTGGTCATTCAGGCTGGGCAGTCCAAGGTGGCTGAAGGAGATGCCAACCACATCACTCCCTTGCGTGGTGTTGTCTAAGAAGCTGGTGGGCCATCATCTAACCAGACCGGTGGGTTTAGGTTCAGGTGGGCCTTCGCCGTCTCAGTACTTAATAGCCAAAGCCCAGCAGCCACCTCTCACCAGGGCAGTGCTGCACCATTTGGGATGCTTAAAAACACATTGGCAAACCCATCTAACCAAAACTTGCCCTGGCAGAGAAAAGCATGCCCTTTCCCACTGCCTTGGCTACTTCACACCAAGCTACAGGATGCCCAGGGCTGGGAGCAGCCCCATGAACAGCCTCTCTCTTTCAGAGCTCAATGATTTGCCATCTGTGCTGGTCTAACGGAGCAAGCCCCCAGGTGTGGATCCCCGGCCCACGGCACAGAGAATGGATGTTGCCCAGAAGCTAAAGCTCCACGACGGCATTGGCCTGGGGACTCAGCCCAGGGTGACTGCAAGTAACTTAAGCGAGAAGGGCCACCCTCATGCCTGGTGGGAGGTCCCAGCTTAGGCCTGGAGGTTGGCAGGGGAATATGGATTAGCCCAAGATGCCTCACACCTCTGGCCCACACCTTGATGCCCATGAGGTGCCCCCTCTCTTCTTACATGCCTCGGACTCCTCCTAGATAGCTCTACCTGGAGGGAGCCCTTGGAGGTTGCTTGGGAAGTCGGATGGATGGGCAAGCATGTGCAGCCAGAAGCTGAGATATAAGAGGAAGGGGGTCTCGAGCCAGAGCTGGGCCTGTCTCAGTGCTCCCACCCACCCTTTTAATATCATAAAAAGTCTCATGGAAATGTGGCTTTTCCCAAGTGCATAACCCCCCTTGTTTTTTTTAATGTATTTTTATGTGGAGAACTAGAGCCACTCTGTACAGCGCGCTTCTGCCAGGCTCCCTGAAATCACCTGCTTCCAGGTGGGAAGCTGCGTGTCACCGTCCCCCTTGCCGTGGTGAGGGGCAGCCCCAGCTACAGCCTTGAGGGTTGGGTAGGGTGGCAGCCAGCTCACCGGGGGTGTTGCGGGGGGTCGGGAGGTAGCGGACTTGATCCAAACTCCATCCAAGTCAGTAAGTGTCACACCCCTGGTCTTACTGGGCTTTGGGCCAGGGCCCAAGAAGAGCATGTGGTTTCAATGGGTTAGCACCTCCTTCACAGTTGAGCCCCAGTGTGGCTGGGGTGACTGCACCGTTGGTGGAAGGGCCCTGCGGCATGACACTCCTCTCACTTGGCACTCCTTGGGAAAGAGGGCGGCTGGGATGGCTGAAGAGCTTTGGCCACCCAGTTCCCACTGACACCAATGGGAAATGGGTGCGTAAAGCCCCAAGGCACCATGCAGATCTGCACCCTCGCGTCCCAGAGGGCCGGGGTGGCAGAGGCATGCCTTCCACCCAGTCACCTCCAGTAAGCATCTGAATCCCCCAGTCTCAGCCCTGCAGTTTCCCAGCAGATTGAACGTGTTACAGAGAACTTGTCCCATGCTTCACCTCGCTTGCCCCTCCTCTGGGCTGTGCCCTGTGTCTCCTGCCTCTCCTGGCAACCCCCCTTCAGACCTTGGCATGGTCAGGGCTGCTCCATACTGCGTGCATCTGAATAGTCCACATGTGCTGCTGCAGCAGCATGTGAAGGCTGCTTGTCTTGGTGCCGTATGGGCCGGCGGGTGGAGTTGAGAGTCCATGTCTGCCCACAACGTAGGTACAGCCTAGGGAGAGGGCGATGCCATGTTTCACTCCACCCTGCTCTGCCTCAGCCCTGCCAGGAGAGAGGAAGAAGCACATCTCCTCTTAGGGCAGCCTCCCCAGAGAGGTCAAGCACGTGGGGACTCACTCATGGTCTTGGAAATGGGGACTCAGTGCTTTGGAGACATGACCCCCATGACTATAAACCCAGCGCACAATCTGTGCTGCACTGACTTGCCCATGAGTCCCACCCCCCAAAACTTTCCCCTTCAGAGCATCCCTTATCATTGGCCCTAAATCCAGATGGTTGCTGGATTCCCATGGTGGGCCTCAGCCCTTGGTTTTCCCTCTCTGTGCGGGGAGGGGGGGTCAGCGCTTTCTAGGACTAAGCCATACAACCCGTACTTGAACATGCAACGAGGCGTTTCTTTGTACACAGCAGCTGCTGTTTTGAATAAAGTTGAGCTCATGCTCTCGGGTGCTGTTATGAGCTCATGCTCTCGGGTGCTGCCGGCCTGGGAGGAAGGCCCATGGCGCCTGTTATTCAACATGGGCATACAGGTCCTGTAGCCCCAAAGAGCTGGGCTTTTTCTGCTAAATAAAACTCCCGGCCCAGAGAAAGAGACAATGACGTCAGCTCTCATAGCATCACGGCCATTGGGTTTGGGCATTGGGTTTCGGGAACGTCCAAGCAGCAAAACAAAACTCCCTCTGGGCAAGAGGCTGGAAATGATGAGACTGAGCAAGGTCTACAGAAATGGAGTACATCCCCACTCTGCATGCTTCTCTTCGCCTTGCTGCGGGGTAACGCTTGCCAAAGACCAATGGCTGGAGCCACACAAGGATTGAGGCTCAGCCTCTTCGGACCCGTAAGACCGACATTTTGGC